TGGCTGGGTGCATCCCTGGTGCTCTGTAAGCAGGAAATGAATGAATGAAGCAGTCCACAAACACCATGGCACACCAGAACTACTCTCCCCTTTCTCTGCCCCCATGTCCTGTACTCTTCCTAATGCTGCCTGAGCTTGTATTAGCTCCTCCAACAGACTTCCACAGGCATGCTGGCTTGGATGGACAGGGTGTTCCCCGGGGAACAAGGCTGCAGGCTCCCTTCACTGACACCCACCCGCCTTGGGAGGGTCTAACAGTGAACTAGGCAGCATAACAAAAACACTCTAGTCATGCAGCAAAAGCAGCTTGTCAGGGACAGACTTGAGAGGTCCTACTTGCCTTTAATAAATCTGGACTGTGGATTAAGTGTAGTCATTAGTGCTGACCAGTAAGTACTTCTCACTGTCTTCCCAGGTGCATGGTAGAAATGCATTTCCCTGCCCCTTTGAAGCTAGGTGTGGCCATGTGACCTGCTTTAGCCAATGAAATGCGAGTAAAAGAGTCAGCGCACAATTTACAAAGCTCCCTTTGGCGTTCACAGAAGCACTGAGGTGGAGCGTCCTTCAGTAAAGATGACAGAGCAAAACCCCTGAGGTGACCTGTGATGAACATGGAGTGAAAGTGAGAAATAAATCCTAATTGTTTTAAGTCACTGAAATTTTGGTTGATGCTGTTTCCATGGCAGACCCTAGCCTATCCTGACTAATCCTGTATCACACACAGTAACTAGAATACATAGGGCTTATGTCCTCTGCCTCTGCCAAATCATAGCTTTCACATTATTTCTCTTCTCCATGCTTCTAACGTGTAAGATGGGAAAGTATCTTTTGGTGGACATGCCCTGTTACACCAGGCAGCTCAGGTGAGCTCTACCTGCCAACAGTAAGAGAGATGCAGTATCTGTTCACATCAGCAATACGCTAAGGAAGTCACCATAGAGACCATTTTTTCTTTCCTACAAGAGGAGGAAGCGAAGATTATTTGATTCAAAAATCATCTACAATTATTACTGCAGCCCAGAGAATGATGAGTATCTAGAGGAGACTTAAGGATGAATGAAAGAATCTGGGAATAATTTAGGAGGGTTGGAAAAAGTAAGGTATGGTTCTCAAACTTTTACCTGAATCAGAATCACCTGAAAGCTTGTTAAAACACAGGTTACAGGGTCCTACCTCCAGAGCCTCCGATTCAGGAAGTCTGGGGTGGGCTCGAGAATGTGTGTGTGTGACAAGTTTCCGGGTCCTCCCGGTCCAGAGACCGTACTTTGAAAACCGCTGCTCTAGGAGGACCCACTCCAAGACACCAGGGTGAAGGCTCTGCAAGCGGAGTCAGTGTGGCCTTAGCAGACCCTCTCTGAAGAAGACAAAGACAAGACCCACCTTTCCTTTCTCTCCGCCAACACACTCTGACGGCTGATGTGTGAAGGACAAAAATGGTCACCTCAACCTTTCTTTCCTCACCACATGCAACACTCCACACAGAATCAAGCCCCTCTTCACAAGATTATAACAGTAATCTTATTAGTTGGCATATAGGATGATAACCTACTCCTCAGGATTACTGTATTAAGATGTTTTAAGATAGTTTCTGTGAGGGGAACTCCTGCCTGCCTCCCCGCCCTCCAGAGCTGCACCAGGAGGCAAATCCAAGGGTGTTTCAGGGGGAAGCCATTTAGATAATGGGCTGCAGCCTTTGTCTCCAAACTTCTCTCCACACTCCCCTTCCCAAACCTCCACTACACATCAGTCTTCTTGCCCTTTGACCCCGCTAAGACTGGTCACACTTCCCTCAGCTGTGACCCACCCTCAGACACATACACACGCTTATCTTGGCTTATCTTAATCCTCCCCCTTCCTCCAGTTAGGGCCAGACACTTCAAGAAAGCCTTCCCTCTCTTTCATCCCCATCACAGACTATCAATCACCATGTCTTGTCAATTTTACCTCCCAAGTATCTCCAGAATCCACCTGGTGCTCTTCAGTTTTCACTCTAACTCAGCTGGTTACAGGTCCGCCGAGCTCTCCCCTCTCTGTCCTCGAGGCCTTTGCCCAGGTTGTTCACCGTGACTGGACAGGTCCCAGTGTAAACAACATACCTTCCCAGGATGGAGAGGCCTTCCACGATCCCTAAGCCAGAATGCTCTTTTATCAACTCCCCTTGAACCCTTTGTTTCTTCGGTTGTGAACATCGATCACATTTGTGATCTCCTGTTTAATTATCTATCTTCCCGATTCAACCGCCAGCTCTGCACAGACAGGACCACATTTGTCTTAACTGCCGTAACTGCAGAGTCTGGAGCACGGTCTGGCACACCCCCAACACAAGGCCAGCATTTACTAAGTATTTAATGAATAAGAGCAGGAATCACCACATCAGTTCATAGGAATCCTCCCTGCCTCTCAATGCCTACAGCACCTTCTGCCTCCTTCAGGGCATGTCTGGCCAAATGGTTGCACCCACCCCCTGAGACAAGCAAGCACTCCTTATGACAGCCAGGAAATGGGCTCTAGAGAGACCCAGTGACCCCTGGAAAGAACAGATTTTCTCTGGAAATGGAATAGAATTGAGATTCTCTACAGAGATATTTTAGTGGGACAAAAGAGGCTACCTTCTCAGAAGTGGTAAGGAGACAAAGTCTTTGTGAATAATGAGGAGAAGGAGGTGTGTGTGACATAGGTATTTAGTGATAAAAAGTCTGCATTTTCTAGAAGCTCTTATTAAAGTTGGTAACTTCTGCCTGGGCTGGTGTGGCTCAGTGGATTGAGCTCCAGCCTGCAAACCAAAGGGTTGCAGATTCAATTCCCAGTCAGGGCAGATGTCTGGGTTGCAGGCCAGGTCCCCAGGAGGGGGCGCGTGAGGGGCAACCACACATTGATGTTTCTCTCCCTCTCTTTCTCCTTCCTTCTCCTCTCTATAAAGAAATATATAAAATTTTTATGAAAACAAAGTTGGTAACTTCCCACTGAGCATTCTGATGGATTCCCTATCCAGAACTTTAATAATTATGGCACCCAGGGCTTCAGGATGCCTAAGAACAGGGGCTGAACTCAATAACCTCTACAGGAGCTCACTCCAAGCTGGAATTCAGAGAGTCCACATTCCAGTGTTTTTACACAGCAATTCTTTCTCAATATAGGAGACAAGATAGTCTTTACCTTCACCCACTTTCTCTCTAATGAAACATTAGTGCTTTCAAAGCCAGACCCCCAACCCCACAGTCTGACCATCATGTTCCATAGGCCACCAGCATCAAAATAACTTAGCAGGCAGCATCTGACTAGGGCAAAGGTTAGACCTGAGTGAAGAGGTTGAGCTAGGGTGGCATCCTGGCTTTTCTACTTCTAGCCACGCAACAACTCTTGGCAAGTGACTATTTCTTTGAGTCTCAGTGTCTTCACGTCTCAAACTATGATGATAACCTACCCCTCAGGATTACTGTATTAAATGAGATATGCATGTGAAATCCCCAGGACAGAGTAAACATGCAAGGAATGTAAGTATTATTATAATTACAGATTTCTAACTTTAAAAGCTCTGTAAAATAATGATTCTAAGCTGAAAATACTAGAGATGAAATGATACGTTTGGAATTTGCTTCAAAAGAATCTAGGGAGGGAGGGGGAGTATATAGATGAAATAAAATCAGCCATGTCTGTTTGTTCTGCTTTTTTAATCCTCACCCAAGAATATATTTATTGATTTGGGGGGAGGCATTGATGTGTGAGAGAAAGATCAATCGATGCCTCCCATACATGCCCAGACCAGGGATCAAACCCACAACCTAGGTATGTGCCCCGACCGAGAACTGAACCTGTGATCTTTTGGTTTACGAGATGATGCTCCAACCAACTGAGCCCCTCAGCAAGGGCAAAAATCAACCATGGTTTGGAAATTATTGAATATGGTCAATGAATACATTAGATTTATTACCATATCTCTCTGGTTTTGTATATGTTTGAAATTTTCCATAATAGAACATTTAAAGGTATAAGTACCAAGGGAGGCAAATGCTGTAAAAATATAAATACTGATCATTCATTTTAAGAATATTAGATCTAACTTTGGGTGGTATGGCTCAGTGGATTGAGTGCTGGCCTGCCAACCAGAGTGGCTGGTTCGATTCCCAGTCAGGGCCCATGCCTGGGTTGCAGGCCAGGTCCCCAGCTGGGGACACGTGAGAGGCAACCACATATTGATGTTTCTCTCCCTCTCTTTCTCTCTCCCTTTCCCTCTCCCTAAATATAAATATTTTTTTAAAAAGATGTCTGGTTTAGGTGATTAAGCAGAAGAAAAATCATTTGGAAAAAAAGAAGTAAAGCCCACATCTCTATTAGTTTCTCAAACGGAATTGTTTTCTTCAAACAGAACCATCTCGGATGAGCACGAGAGACCACAGCCACTTGCACAGGTTTCTCTGCCTTCATTTTTGGGAGAGGAACACAGCCTGCTTGGGCTGCACATGCATTTTTAAGGCAACAGCCCTGGCCGGTAGAGCCTGCCCTGAGCACCCAGAGGCCCTGCTGAGGAGCAAGAATGTCCCTGTGTTAGGGAAAGCAAGCATGGAGAGCTCAAAATGTTCGGGGCCAGTGGGTGTCCAAGTCCTCTTCTCCTCTAAGCCCTGGCTTTGGACTCGTACTTGAGCCTTCATTTACAGGCTCATTCAGCTCAGTATGAGACTGTATTCAAGGTACTTTCACACTAGATGAACGTGTTAGAGGTCACTTGAGGAAAAAGATTCATTGAAGGGACAGAGGTAAGGGGCTCTGACAATGCCAATCACACAGCACATCTGCACATCCTTTCCCCCTTCTTCCTCTTCCCATTCAGAAAGGTCTAGAGACTGAAAAACGAAATTCCTGCATTTCACATTCAGTCAACAAACACAGAACCCCTGTAGCTGAAAGGGGAAAAATAGTCCAACAAACTTTGTTTTGAGCAAATGCTTTTAAGCCCCTAAACTCTACCTGGAAAAGAAGAATATTTTTAAAAAAGTACTTACTCTTCTTGAAGAATGAATTCACTGTTTTCTGGAGAAAACTGCCCACTCACAGGATGCCTGAACGCTGTGGTCTGCTGGTTATGGCTAAAGAGAAAGGAAGAGAGATAATGAAGGAAACGCCATATGGATGATACGGACCACAGACACAACAACAGGCCGGACTGTCAGAGGACCCCCCCAATCATCAGATTCCTCCAGGGTGAGAAAGTGGGCCTTCCTGCTGGGAGGCACTTCACCTGTCACAATCCAGCTGTATTCAAAAGCCAAGAACTTCCAGCTCAGGTGCCAAAGGCCACCTAAGACGCAGATATTTTAATTCTAGGGAAGTCTTGGCTTCAAGAGAACACTGCAGCTTAGAGAGACATTCCATGAAGCACGGACTCCAACAAACTGAGCGGCTTAGCAAAAGTTACTTTAAGATGGCACGAGCTAAAACAAGAATGAAGGAAAGCAGGCGGCACTTACAGCAGCTTTCAAAACCCATGAACCAAGGAAAGAATTCTAAGAATTAACCACCCACCCAGAAAAATCTCTCTTCTTAAAATTCTTCTCCCTACTACAAAATGTCTTCACTTCAATGATGGAATATAAATGTACGAGCATGTCCGTGCAACGTGACCTGCACAGTTTCAACACTGTAGAGTTTCTATCACCCTTTTGAAATTAGGAGGGATCAGCTTCCACACCAAGCTGACAGGCACAGCCAAAGTGTGTAGGTGTTTTGTGTATTCACAAAGGCTGCCTGGCTCTTTGAAAGGAAGGAGGAGCTGGCTGAAGAGCCTGCTGGTTTATTCTCTGAATACAACAACCTTCCCTCCTTCTTTTTAAAAGAATATAATTTGTTTTAAAATGTTTTCCCCAATCGCAAAACAGAGTCATTTAAGAAATTTTAGAAAATCTAGACAGAAAAAAGAAAAATGGTCACCCATGATCTCACCATCTAGAAACATACCAGAGTAGATTCTCCTTCCTAGTTTTTTTACTCTTTTATTTAAGAAAGGAAAAAAGTTGTGATTTTACTGTATTTAGAAATCTGCAGCCTGCTTTTATCACATCCTGTTAACATAGAATATCTCCTATGTCATTAAGACTTCTTCATTTGAAATAGCTGAACAATAGTCTCATCACATAGATATAATTTTTTCACACAATCAACTGTTCAAAAAAATTTTTTTCCCAGCCATCTGTGTGCCAGGCACTGTTTTAGGGGCTGGAGATACAAAGTGAACAAAAAAGGCCTTTCCCTACAGTGCTTACATTCTAGAAAGACTAACATTCTTCTAATGCTGGACATTTTAGGTGCCCCCTCCTGGCCCCACTATTATAATTAATACATCTTTGAGGATTTTTCTGTGATTCAAGTTGTTTCCTTGGGTTAACGTTCCAGAGGCAAAATGACCAGGGCATGGTCATTTTTTACGGCCCCTAACAGATGGTCACCAGGCTCTCGCTCACTGTCAGAGCCAACCCATCGCCTCAGTTTGGCAGTGTTATGGTATCAGCCCCATCTCCAAACTGACCACTGAGCCACCCCAGAGATTAGATTTAAATGAGCATAGCATGAAGGTTTAGAAAGAATAAATCTCTAAGCCTACAAAGTTTTTCTTTCTCTGACCCGGGGCCCGGTCAGAGCACCCTGAGTTCTGGTGTCTGGGATAAGCTGACACTGAGGTTAGTGCAGCCTGAGTCCCGATAAAGCCAAACGGGAAGCAGGCAGGGCCAGGCTGCTCCCGGGTCCTGCAACTCTCTGCCTCACCCCAGCACCCTCTCACCCCTCCCAACCCCCACCAGCCTCCAAACTCCCAGCTCTGGGTTCCAGGCAAGCCCTCGGAACCCTATGACCTCATCTGCCAGGCAGCAGCCCGATCTTCCCAAACAATTGGAGTTAAGACATGAACACCTAGACAAGAATGGGAAGCAAGCTGCCTTAACACCTGTTTCAGAAATCCTTGCACCGCGTTCAAGGGTTAGGCTTTACTTACACCCAGCTCCTTTGACAGGGTCATCTCTAGTCACCAGGGAATTTGAAAACACAAACTCTAATCTAAGTCTGCCTCACTTCCACCTGCAGGAAATAATGCCCAGCTCCTAAAGGGAATAACAATAAAGCAACACCACTGTTATCCACTTCTCAAGGGTGCTCCAATCCAGAAAGCCTTTTCTTATACATAAGAGCTACGAACAGCGTTGAGGAAATGGCTCAGAAAGGTTGACTCGCTCGAGATAACTTCGTCAATCAGTGACAAGACTGGGACATGAATTCAGAGCTTCTGTTTCTAAATGTGACGCTCTTTGCACGATAACCTGCTGTCCTCTTCCCTTTGGAGTCTGTGGGGCTGGCAGCTTCCGAGCCATGACAGAAATCCCTGAAGACGTAGCATCAGGAAAACAGCATGACCCCCTCCCTCCTTCCCTTGTGCCCAGGGCCAAAGTGTCACTGATAACATCAATGGGGCACTCAGCAGCCCCCAAACATGAGGGGGTCCTCACACAAGGTCAGCCTGGTGGAACTCTGGGGGAACCAGGCAGAGAGGGAATCTTCTCTGTGCGTGGAGCAGCATCCAGCATCCAGCAAACACTTCATATACGCAGCACCTTAACAGCAACTCCTGGGCTCCCCACACCAGTTTGCACCAGTTTGTAGCCTGAACAAGTACTGAGTCTTAGGCAAGTAAACCCTGAGCTGGACTGTGTAGGTGCAAAGATGAACTTAACATTCTGACATGAGATGGAAGACAGTTTTTAAAGCTGACAAAAAGATAGCTGTTGTTTCATCAAATCTAGAGGCAGCTCCTCAACTTTTCCTTCCTAATATGAACGCTGCCCTTTTTGCCAAAAAAGGTTATCAGCCAATGTCATTACCATCATTTCCTGTATTTATCCGAAGCTTTAAACATGGTCATATTCATCACTGAATTTGACTGTCCCACGTACTCACTGAGTGAGGCAGGGTGGGTATTTTTATCCCCATGTTATGTATTAGGAAACTGCGGACTTGGGTTATGAGATACTGCTGGAACACTAAATGTAAAGAAAAACAAAAAAAAAGGATTCATATTGAAAAAAGTGATGAACCAAAGTAATGCTTCCAGGAACCTGAAGTCTTAAAATTTGATCATTTCTGATCAAACTTGCCCAACTTGCTAATGGCAAAGTTTCTGGTTCAGCAATTTTAAAGCAAAGGAAAAAGAATTAGGTAGGTCCTTGGGGTATTCCATTTCATTCAGTCCAAATACCCAGTAGGACAGGCTGTGTTTTGTCACGCCGGGCCACAGGTGAGGAAAGTGAGGCTCCGAACAGGTAGATCAGTGGTCCCCAACTTTTTTGGCACCAGGGACAGGTTTCGTGAAAGACAATTTTTCCATGGATCGGAGGTGGGGGGATGGTTTCGGGATGGTTCAAGCACATTACACTCAAGCTCACCTCCTGCCGTGTGGCCTGGTTCCTAAAGGGCCCAGACAGGTACCAGTCTGCAGCTTGGAGGTTGGAGACCCCGGGATAAGGTGACTTGCCCCAAACCACTGTCGTTTCCTGGGTTCTCGCACATAGCCCCCCTTCTGATCTTCCTGCTACGCGAGGCTCACCCCAACCAAACCAAGGCTGCCTATTAAATGCCCGATCCCTCCACCCATTTGGAGACTGCCAAGCCTCTGACTCTTCCTGCTGTCTCCCCACCCCTTAGCCCCAAAGCCCCCAGCCCGCCCATTTCCTGATTTACTGACACCCGTGAAGAATTTTATGTACTACAACCCTATCTCAAGACGCATTTAACAGGCACAGACAAATCCCCCGAAATACCTGTTCTTAAACCTGAATTGCCACCTTGCTCCTTGGTAGTGATGGAGGTGGCCCGGCTGGAAGCCAGGTGGCTGGTCTCAAGGGAGCAGACTTCTGCACACAAAGGCTTTTGTTTCTCTTTAGGCTACTGAGAGAGTAACTTAGCAAAATGAAGTAAAACACAACCTAGCCTTTATCCTCCGATCCCATTCTTACTCCCAGGAACAGCCCCTCCATGCCAAATGGCAGCCAGTCTCACCTGGGAAAGGACCAGGGAGCATGGACAGGAGGTGGCAGGGAAGAATGATTCCCATGAAGGTGGGCCACAGGTAACCATCCACATAAATAAGCACATCTTCACAGGCCCCGGGGCTGGGGAGGACTTGAGTTAGGCCCTGAAGAAGTCCCACTGCAAACACGAGAGTCCCGACAAGAGAACAGAATGAGGACCAGGGAGAAGACCGAGTTGAACTCAGTGTAGGGAAGAGCCCACCTACCAGTATGCACAGGACTAGTCAAAATATAAACATGTCCTGTAGTTTCTTGCAACATTTTTGAAAGATTAACTTTTCGTGCACATAGATTTTGACTATAATGTGAGCAGTGACTCTGGTTAGTTAAACATAGAGATCACTCCCCGTGGCTGCTATGGTTCAGTGGTTGGGGCATCATCCTGTAACCGAAAGGTTGTGGGTTCAATTCATGGTCAGGGCACACACCTAGGTTGCGGGTTCATCTCCAGTCCAGGCCTGGGCATGTGTGACCCCAGGCCCTGGAGTGGGTCCCTGGTCTGGGTGCGTATGGAGGCAACTAATTGATGCTTCTCTTGCATCGATGTTTCTCTCTCTCTTTCTCTCTCTCTCTCTCTCTCTCTCTCACTCACTCAACAAAAAAAAAGCAAATGAAAATGTTCTCAGGTGAGGAAAAAACGTGATTCCAATTACTCAGCATGGCAATTTTTGGGCCTGGCAAGAAGTCCTGGAGTTACATGAATGGTGCTCCAAAGTGTCGGTCAGAGCACCCTGATAAATCCGGTTTTCTGACAGCGGTGGTACTGGTCTGCTGGGAGTGCGGCACAGCTGCTCTGTCAGCATTAGCCCTTATCAGGCCCATGTTATTAAGAGAAGAAACAGCTTAAAATATAAGAAAAGTATCTGGCTTCAAAGCCTAAGGATGGACTCTGTCAAGGCTCTTCTCAGTGGTGTGCTGGGCAGCAGGTGCTGCTCTGGACCTTCTGGCTCCTCCAGGAGCCCCCAGACCAATGTAAACGAGTCACCCTGCAGGCCTGAAGCTGCTCGGCCCTGCCT